ACATTATATATAGCAATAATCTATATATATATAGATTATTGCTATTTTGAAATAGGTTCTTAAACATATTTGTTCTAAAACACAGAGCAGTGAATAAAGAAGTAAAGCAAACAATTATCTCTTATAGTTACTACCTTTTTACTTGGTTCCTGCTTGATGTAGATTGCTAAACCTTTAAAAATTTTGCGTGTGGAGGATATGAAACAAAATATTTTTTTTAGGTTTTACATATACATTTGAATAACTAAAAAAATCATAAATTACTACATTAATACCATTGTATTCCACTATAATTTATAAAGCTTAGTAACTACGATTTTCGAGGAGACTAAATACACAACCTACCTCTTTGAAATCTTGGTTCGAAAAAAAGAGATGGTGTCCAAACACATTAAATTTGCTGAGGCCATTTTGAGCTTTTGGTTGGTTATTCATGTCATATATAGAAGTAAGTATATATAAGGGAGTGTTTCCAAAAATGAGAAGTTGGAGGGGTGTTACTGTATTTGATTTATTACATGAGCAATATCTTAGCAAATAGAAAAGATAAGAGGTTCTTATTTCATACACTAGCTTGTCAATATTGGTAAGTTGAGTTCCTAATTTGTACGAAACTACAGACTTAGTATCTTGACACCACAAGAACATCTAATTTGTACCAGTACTGCATTCAACATACCATGTGACAAACAAAAATCAATGTTTATTTGTTTTTTTTAATATTTACTTTTAAATTAACAAATTGAGTAATGTATAATACTTTATCCTAAGTAGCTCTAAGTTTGTAACAGTATACATCTATTTATAATTAAATTTTATTCTTTTATTACCCTTTGAACTGTGTCTGCACCATTATAAGTCATAAATCACTCTGGGAACATACAGCTCACATTATGCTAACGAATTACATTAGCCACGAACTACTACAAGCTGCTCATGTGTGTGCTTTGTGAAGCATTTTTTTATATTATTATTACTTATTTTACCTAATCTAGTCTTAACTAACCTAAAGGGATCCCTATTTTTACATTTTAGTTACTTTTATAATTAGACATAAAGAATAAACATAAGACACAAGAAATAAAATACTTAGCCAATCTTATTTTTTCTTGCCGTTAATTGTCGAAGAGAGTTAACCCTAATTTTTTATACTAATGATAGTAATGCACTTAATAATTTTTATTTAATTAAATAATGCACCAAAGAATATGGACTAATAACATGCAAAAAAGTAAACAAGTTACCTTACCTTTCAAAACTTTTCTAGCTTTCTAACTATGCGACGAGAGTGGTAACAAATTATTGTGATGACAAGAATTGTGTTTCACTCCTGTTGGTGGAGGGTTGCTGCACGATCATTTGCATAATAACATACAAGGGTAGGTGGGAGTATCAAGGCTTGTGGTGGAGTGAAAATTTGTGCATATAGAGGGCAGTACAAGTCAAGAAAAGCTATTGTGACAAGAGGTAATATATCATATTGGAAATCATAATTATCATAACTCTGAAGGGGTCTACTTAATATCTTACTTCAATTAATTATAATTGTGAGCTTCTCAAGTTGTACTCATTAAATTGAGCCTACACTACAGGTCTAGCCCAACTATTAAGTCCAAACAGAACATGCTATAAAAGTAATTTAGTAGTCACTTACTGACTTGCTTTAAAGTTTTCAGTTAGGTTTTTTATTTTTAATTGGCTTAATAACAAAGAAACATACCAATATGAGTAAATTTTTTTGGCTAGAAATATCTAAGTCATTTTATATTAAGTTAGCATTAAAATTCCAGAAATAAATTAGCTTTACTTCAGCCAAAAATGCTATAATAGTGGGTCCTACTGAAAAGTTTTGTAACCCTTTGATGGATGGCTGATATCCATGATGATCAAAATATAATGTTACTGAGCATGACAGGTTTTCAAGTATGTCTATTTTTGTTGGTACAGGATGTATACATCAGTTATACAAATGGTTGGTTGGAAATGCCATCAACTTACTAACATCAATCTTCAACAACTGACACACCATCATATATAATTAATTTAGGTTACTATACAGTGAAGTAAAATGGACTCAAAACTCCATATTATATACAATTCACCATTATAAGAAGCCTAATGGTATTTCTTTGGTTTGCTGACATAAGCTGTGCTGTTGAGCCTTGAATAAATAAAAATGCAGTCCACGGCAGAGGGTGAAGCCAATCAAAGGACATATTAGGCCTCTATGTCAGAGATTATCTTTTCAATTTCACCTCTGGTGAAAATAAAAAGAAATCTATAACATATACACACATACCTAAATAAATTTAGGTGAAGTCAAACAAACTCAAAACCACATAGATACGACATATCAATCATTGTCTATCAAAGGATTAACAATTAATGACATATCCATCATTGCCTATCAAAGGATTAACAATTAATGACATATCCATCATTGCCTATCAAAGGATTAACAATTAATGACATATCCATCATTGTCTATCAAAGGATTAACAATTAATAACATATCCATCATTGCCTATCAAAGGATTAACAATTAATGACAATAAAATAAAACTTTCATAAGGGAACATCTCACACAGATTTTCAGAAAACAACTGTTCATGAAATGAAAAGAAAAACTTATAAACATCAAAAACGTAAGAAGATTATAGTGACCAAAGTATTTTACTACAATATGACTATTTCCATGCTCAATCTAACTTCATAGAAGCAAAAATATATCATGCTTACCCAGCTGATCGAACAATTTGACTAAACTGACCACTATGCATATTAGCTGCAGTTGTTGGGTAAAGCCTATATTCTGAGTGGCTCGTGTCTCCTAAGTTTACAACTTTCAGGGTCACAGGCTCAAACTTCCTAATTGTATAAAATACCATAAATGTTTTCCAAAACTTTTTAATAAACACTTATTTCTTAGACTGTTTTAATTAAAGGTCAGAACCATTACTCAATGCAAATAGTTTTACTGAATGAAGCTATTACAAAATGACAAACTAATCAATGACAGAGCTAATCAATAAAATAAAATTTTAAACAATACTTTCTTTAACTAATGAAAAGAAAACATTAACATCTGTAGTTAAACAGAAGTATACAAATCAATACACTTAAAGAAATATCACAGAAAGAGCATTCTGAATTTTTATATTTAAAGAGAAATTGATTAATATATAAGAGCACATGTTATTTTCAACACTACTAACATCTTGTAACGAACTTATACTATTGTCAGCTAAAAAATACAGTTTAAACAAATCTGTCTACTTAAGTAAATAACATGAGATGCTATTTGTTGAAGTATGTTTTACAGTGGAATATGGACTTGGTATTATTATTATTAATGATACACCCAATTCATACAGTCTATTATTGATTCCAAAAAAGGTGTTTGAAGCTACTCAGTATTATACTGCTTTGAAGCATTCAATTCTTACTTGAATTTATGACAAAATCTAAAAGATGTTGATTTATTATGAAAAAGGTATAAAAAATTCACACCAATTACATACCAGCCTGTGTAACGAAGGAAAACATGATCAAAACTATACGTGGAGTCATTAGTTGACACAAATGCAGAAAAAAGGCCAAAAATAAAAAACTTGTCATACAGTGGTAAGTTTGAAGCCAGGTTATGATGGAGAGCACGTTCTCTTATGGAAATAGAAAGACTTGAATTACGGCGAAATTTGAACCAACCAATCACATCCTAGAAATCAAGAAAAAATTAACAAATATAACAGATTATAAAACTATGAGTAAAAATCAAAATGGTTATTATCACTTAAATACTATGATAACCTAGATGTTTTCCTGTTTTAACCCTATTGCCATAGGTATCCTTTACTGCGCATGACACATGGTTTTAGTGTCTTACATTCAAAATTTTATTAAATCAATTTTTGTTTATGTTATACCTATTAGTATAGCATAAAATCGTAACTGGTAATCCATATTTCATATTTCTGAATTTCATAAGGCAATATTTTTAAAAATCCTGAATTTCCCCTTGTGTGACACACAACATATTTTCTCTAAGCATCTCCTCTTCTCTATCTAATCTACCACCCCTCCAATAACTATGAAATTAAAAATAAATTACTTTATAAAATTGTAATTACTCAGACAAACCATAATTTTTATAGCCTCCAATTCTGTTTGGTTACAGAATTATCAAATATAAAATCAGACCTCTTTTGCCACACCCACCTGTCACATCCTCTGTTTAAGGATTTGTTAATAGTTCTCTTTCTCTCTTATGTTTAATTCTATATTATTTATAACCAATAGAAAGCTGAGGTTTTCATCTATCAAATGATATAATATATTACGTTGTGTTCTGAACAGAAAATTGTCAATTTCTCTTTTAGTACAAGTTTCATTCCCAAGGAAAAGGTAACAACTAGATTGGATGAATTTATAACGGCCATAGTTAGAAAGCCAGAAAAATTGTGATTGTTAGAGGAAATTGTCTGCTTTTTTGCATGTTATGTTTGTTTGTGCATTATTTAATCAAATAAAAATTATTAGTGCGTTACTACCATTACTATTAAAAAAGTATGGTTAAGTGTCATCAATAGTCAACAGCAAAAAAAAGAGTACTCGGGTAATTACTATATTTTTTGTTTTTCATGTTTATTTTATATTTCTTATTATAAAAGTAACTAAAATTTAGAAATTGGGATATCTTTAGGTTAGTTAAAGTTAGATTAGGCATAATAAATAATACTATAATAAAAATATTTCAGGAGCCATGCACATGAGCAGCTCGTGGGTAACTTAAATCGATAGCGTAACGTGAGCTTCACGTTCCCCAAGTGATTTACAACTTATAATGGCGCCAATAGTAGTTAGACACAGTTGAAAGGGCAATAAAACAATAAGATTTAAGTATAAATAGATGTATACTGTTACATGTTTAAAGCTTCTTAGGAAAAATGAATGTAGTTTCATGTTATAATTTGATTTTATTCTAAAAAGAAAAATGGGTAATTTAGATTTATTTAGATTTTTTTTTTTTTGTGGTGGTTACAAGGTCGGTCAAATTGTCCAATCTCGTATACAGTTAGAGTAGAGAAAATAACAGATAAAGTATAAAGTTTTGCTGAAAACAAACATTTGAAATGTATACATGAGATTTTAGAGATTACACAAATGAAATTTGAGATTTTTGAGATGAAGAAAAGCATTTCTAATCTTAACATGAAAATCGTTTTGCACACAGACTATTCAAAACAAATACTCAATATATTCATGAACATATCCTTTTTTAGCTTATTTAAAATACTTCACTAAAAATATGACTCTTTGTATGTGAAAGACTTATAATGTTTACTGAAAGACTGCCAAATTTTGTGAAGATACACATACTATATCAAAAGTTAGTAGTATCAAATCTATAAAGACTTTAAATGAATACAAAGAGGTGACGTGGGCGGCCAAATTGACCAAGCCTGTGATGAGAGAGTTACTATCAAATCTTGATTAACTTAATGGTAAAAACCTATAATAAAAAAATGAAATCAATTAGGGCATCCCATTGGTCTCTGTTTTTGTTAAATTAGTTTTGATAAAACTGAAACTTAAACCATAAAACATCTCATTATGCTTCTGTTTATTGGTTACAACAGTGGACAAAGCTTTTCCATGTCATTTAAGTCTATCATGCTGAATTTTTAAATATGCAACAGTATCACTTTTAAGAAAAGTGAAGAAGAACATTCATTATAAGGTTTAAAATTAATGGTGTTCCTCAAGTCAAACATTAGTAAATATGGTGACAGATCATCAGTTTCCATAAAAGTAATGATCTTATGGACTACTACACTTCAAGCAAATTCTACTGACAGTAATCCAAACCACACATACTTCTTCACTCACAGCATTGTATTAACTCTCTCAACATGGGCTTAGTCGATTTGACTGACCACATAACCACTTTGTTCTTGTTATAGTTTCAAGAGTACTAACTCTTAATATCACAATATTTGACAGACTTTCAATAAACATTACTTGTCTTGTACATTAAAAAATCAGATTTTTTAGTGAAATATTTTTCATAAAGATTTGTCCGTGAATATATTGAGTCTTTTTTTTGACTATTTTGCGTGCAAAATGATTTTCATGTTAAGATTAAAAATACTTTTCTTCATTTCAAAAATCCTCAAATTTCATTTGTATAACCTCTAAAACCTCCTAAATGCATTTCAAACCCTTTTTTTTTTAGTAAAACTTTATATTTATCTGTCATTTTCTCTACCCTAACTCTACACAAAGTTGGTCAATTTGCCTTACCTTGGAACCCTCAAAAAAATTTAAATAAATCTAAATTACCCTTTTTTTCTTTCTAGCATGACTTCAAATTGTAACAAGAAACTACATCCTAAGTAGCTTTGAACTCATAACCGTATACATCTATTCATACTTAAATCTTATTGTTTTATTGCCCTCTGAACCATATTTAACTACTATATTCATGCCATTATAACTTGTAAGTCACTTGAAGAATGTGTGGCTCACATTATGCTATTGAATTACAATACCCACGAGCTACTCCGAGCTGCTCACATGCATGCATGCCTCGTGAAAATGTATTATTATATTATTATTTTATTTATTTTACCTTATCTAACCTTAACTAACTTAAAGAGTTTCCTATTTTTACACTTTACTTACTTTTATAATAACAAATAAAAAATACATATGAAACACTAGAAATAAAATACTTACTGGTTCTTCTTTTTTTTTGCTGTCGACTTCCGATTACACTTAAGCCTACCTTTTTTATACTAATGGTAGAAATCCATTAATAATTTTTATTTAATTAAATAATGCACCAAAGAACATAGAATAATAACATGCAAAAAGCAATGTCCCATAGCTATGGCAATTTTTCTGGCTTTCGAACTATGTGACACGAAACATTACAAATTCATCCAAGTCAGTCTATGTGTTTCCCGTGGGAACAAAGCTTGTACCGAAAGAGAAACTGACAATTCTCTGTAAAGAAAACAATATAATATTTGATATATGAAAACCTTGGCTTTCTACTGGTTATAAATGATACTGTATTAAACATAAGAGAGAGCTACTGACAAATTCTGAGAGAGAGGATGTGACAGATGGATGTGGTAAGAAGGGTCTGATGTTCTATTTGATGGCTCTGTAACCAAACAAGATTGAAGGCTATGAAAATTATGCTTGGCCTGAGTGATGACAATATAATTTATGGTAAATCTCGTACTTATTGGAGGGGTAGTGAATAAATTAGAGTAGAGAGAATGCCTAGAGAAAAAAATGTCGCATTTCTCACACTAGGGGAAATTCATGATTTTTGTTAACATTGCCTTAAAATTGCCTTGGGGATACTCCAGAACTTAAAAAACTTAGTTTATCACACACAAGTACAGCAAGCATTAAATTTGATCATAAGATGTAGTTGAATGTATAAAATACCACAGCATTATATTCATCAATTCCATGTTTTTGATTTGTAATATTTTACCAATTTTGAAACTTTGAATTTTTTTGTTTTTCAAATAGTTATGTGTTTATGTACCATTTTTTGCTTTGTTTTTAGTTAAAGTTAGTAACTACAATTAAACAGGTCAGAGCTTATTTAGAGAGAAAAAAAAAGGAATGTAAAAATAGACACTAAATTCAGCATGTAAACGGCCTGGTAAAATTAATATAAAACGTAAATAAACATTCTCTACAAAAATCATTGAACAAATTAAAGAAACCAACTATTTAAAAATATAGAAAACATTAAATTTGATGGTAAGATGTAGTTTAATGTATGAAATACCACAGAATTATATTCATTAATTCCATATTTTTGATTTGTAATATTTTGTCAAGTTTAAAACCTTTAATATTTTTGTTCTTAGAAATAGTTTATTTTAAAATACTTATGCGTTAATGTGTGATTTTTTTGCTTTGTTTTTAGTTAAAGGTTTGTAATTACAATTAAACATGCCAGAGATTATTTACAGAAAAAAAAAAGGAATGTAAAAATAGACACTAAATGCAGCATGGATATGGCCTGGTAAAATGAATATAAAATGTAAATGAAAATTCTCTAGAAAAACCTTGAACAAATAAAAGAAACCAACTAGTTCACAAAGCTACGTGTCACACACATGTACATTTTACATGGCAAGGGAAATTTAATAGAAAAATTACACTTGTTACTGAAGGTTTTTGCTCAACACAAGAAGAACTATCACCTTTTTTCTTCCATTGAGAATTTCATCCAACAGCTCTAGCACTATTTGACCTTTTGAATTATAGTAGCTGAACAATTTGTCACAAGAGATGAATTCATAAACGTCTAAGAAAGAAAGAAAAAATTTAACATATCATCACAAAAATTATTATAGAGGACATTCTGGTAAAAATTGTATTTATAGATGTCCCTCTCAAAGTCAGAATAATTTTACACAATCATTTAATGAGGTGAAAGACACTCTGAATAAGTAGTGGAAACAAATTTTTGCTCTGTTTTAATACAATTTGTCAATAAGGATAGTTTTCTACTTTAATGATAAACTTTAGATATTTATCATGCTAAAGTAACAAAATTAACCAGCAAAGTCAGGTTCACTGTAGTTAGAATTTGATGACATAAAACATTAACAAGCAGTAAAGCAATGGAAAAAAATAGATTTTGCAGGCAGAAACAATTGATACATCTAAACCATTATTTGTTGTTTCAGCACTGAAAATACCAAGAAGTACAACACTGAAAATTATCTGATAAAATAAAATTCACAATACTGTAGCTTCACTTATATTAGTTGATTAAATTAAAACCTAATTATCACTATATTGCAAAGGATAAAATCTTAAATCATTATAATAAATATTCTAACACATGCATAAACAGAATTAGAAATGTTTTATTTAGAGAGTAGAATCTTATGCACACAAAACACATTATAAGAGAGTATGTACACAAGCAAGCTATTTTTCAGCTTTAGTAGAGATACAACAATCATACAGTTTTATTCTCTTAATTTTTATTTTTTTTTTGCCAGGACGAACATGATTCAGAAACATATATATATACAGAAGTATTGTGAATTAACATAAAGAAAGCTTCCACAAGGTCCAGTGACCAATTAAAAATTAAAGTTGTGGACAAGGGTGTAAACCATTTTCTTTGGTCAGTAAATGTATTTCCTGTCTTGTTGGAGAAAGACAACAAAAAACTATGATATTTAATAAAATTTATAACATCTGAAGATACATTTGCTACATTAAACTATTTTGCTCTACTAACCTATGAACAAGAAGTACTAAATGTCTCTCTACCATTCTGTTGTGCCATCCACATTCACAGCAAGACCAATAAATTACTTTAATAAATACAATGTATTTTATTTTAGAAATTACATATGGCCTCAGAAATTTATAATTATAATTTAAATACATCTTTCAATTAAAATTCCCTTTAGAGTTTGAATTGTTAAACATTTCACATTTATTTTCTGTGTATTTTAATATCAATAACTGAAGAAGAAATCTGCTGAAAATAAAGAAATCACCACTTTTGTCATTAGATTGTTTACGAGACACTGTAATACAATACTTTCGAGAGCAACAAAGCATGCGGCAACTTGACCTCTGCTCCGAGAACACGATGTGTAATTTATCAGCTTATCTATCATACAATAAGTTAAATATTTTATGCATTAACTTGTGTGCATACTTATACATACATGTGTGTAAGATTGTGCTACATGTTTGAGTTAAAAAGTGCCACTGTAGAACCTTAAAATTTTGTGACCAACATACAACTCATGAACACCCATGTCCTGCATACACCAAACAAAATGGGTGTCTTAAAATTCAGCAATTTAGTATGCTCAATATGAAATCCAGCTTTGCATGGCTCATTTTTGATATCAAGGGTACCTTGCTATAGAGAGCATTTGGATGCAGCTGGAAAGATGCCCTTAATGTCAAGGTTCTACTGTACTTACTCCATACTGTATCGATAAATTTAGCCTTACTTATACATTTTTCCATGTTTTGCACATAATTCTGGTTAGTGTCATCTTCACTGTTTACAATAATACCCATTTCTTCAAAAATTTACAATCAATAACTTGCAATAAAAAAAAAATCACTTTTTGTTTTTTTACTTTTCACTGAGAGGTGACACTAAGATATATTTCACTTGTTCATAAAAACTACCGGTTCATTTTGACAAATATGATTAAAACACCTTAGAATTACTAGAGAAGTAATTCAACACCATTTATCTCATACATTGTAAAAAATGCAATCACAAGTATGTAGAATAAACTCAAATGGCTCTTAGAGAGTGTTTAAATACCCTTAAATTTTCTATTCAGAGTGAAAAAAGACTTCATGTTGCTCAACATTTCAACTAATCTGGTCATTACACTAATGATGTGATTCTCAAAAGTATCAAAATTAAAGCTGACAGAGAAATGAAAGAAGCTTATTGGATTGTCACTTTAAATAATATTCAACATTGTGGTATAAACCTAGATTCTGGAATCAGTGATCTTTGACCATTAATTAGTTCCCTGTCTGACAAATAAGTTTTTCCTTTTTTATGTGTAGTGTAAGTTATTAATTTTTTACTCATACTATTTCTTAATATTTATTTATTTATGTTATAATAATTTGCAATGCTTGGTTCCTTTTTATTAGTTCTTTCTATTGAACATTTTATTACTAACTGATCTTCATATTGTATCTTTTGTTTACTTTATCAATTCCCAATATAATATTCTTTTAATACTTTTACTATTTTTTAAATAAAACCTTTGTAGCCTCTTCATATCTTCATGAGTCCTATCAATTTTGCACAAACATAATTAGTCATATCTAAAACATTCTTTTAAAAGCTAATCAAAGCATTTCTGGATTGTCACGATAGTCTACCATAATATTATTTTACTTTTTCTAACACTCCACTTAACTCAGTTCTTCCCAGTTTGTCCCTAATGAAGAAAGATCTTTTCAAACAAGCTTAAGTTATGTGGTTTCTTATTTTTTTCCTTGATTTTTTTTGAACATCATAAATTTCACTTGTTAATGTGCTGCAGTATTTTTGTAGTATTTCCATAAAACAGAAAACTGCAATAATATCCTGTAGTCATGGCACCAAAAGTTTTCTTCTTCCTACCTACTCTGTGGTATTTTCAGGTAAAACTGATTTCCCCCAAGAATGACTAGAATATGCTTACTATATAATGGGATGATTGAAAAGATGTATTGAAAAGTAATAATGAGTTCCACTGAAACTAAATGAGTCTGTGCTAAAAAAATAAATAGACTGAACACAAGCGTGTAAGATGCAATGAAACAATCTTTATTCAAGCAAATTATATTGTGTTTTACCCTATAGATGATGGACTGCTTTTACTGAAAAAGGTAGATTGACCATACTGGAATTATTCCCTCATTATTTATCCCAGGCTGACCAAGTCACTTATAGTTCTGTTCCAGACTGATAAAAGCTCACATTACGTAACTAAATTGGTAACATCAGACTTACCTAGAGGGACTAGTGCTGCCAATGTCCAATATAATAAAAATAATAAATATATATATATAAATATATAATGATATGAGATTTAAGCTATTTCATCTAAACATTTATGTTTTGGTGTTGCAATTTGTGTTAATTCTAGAATGAAAGAGGCATAATTTATGTTTATTTCCTAATTTTGTATGGTGGTTGCGAGGTTGGTCAAATTTACCGAACCTGTACAGAGATTAATTACTGAAAATAACAGATAAAATATAAAGTTTTTTCTTAAGAAATGTTTGATAACTATTTGGACATTATAAAGATTTTGCATGTGAAATTTCATTTTGCATAAAAATATTTTTAATGTTAAGCTTTATAGAATATATTAACATTAGTTTAACTTTGTTTGACTAATTTAGGTTATTTTAGGACTACATGGTTAACTTTGATTAATCCAAAGTACTATGTTATTGTAGTAGAAGTATTTTCTTTTATGCAAAACATAGTGAAAATCTGATTACAGTGTTCAACATCTAACTTTTAAAACGTTCACTGGTATCATATTACTATTTTAAAATCAAAACATTAATGCAGCTAGTGTAAAGAAATTCAACATTGTTACAAGTTAACAATTAATTCCATATTATCTGAATAGACTTTCTAATTTTATTCTTATTCATTCTCTAATGTTTTTAAATTTTGTAAAATAGTTACAATTATCAAAAGTCTTATCTTACAAAATAAATTGATTTTTATTTTAACTTTATGTTGTTTGATTTTAAATTTGGGTTATTTTATAAATATCAAAAAATTTTATATTTTTTCTTTGGTTAGTTAGACAGCATTTGAGTAACTTCACAGTTATATATATATACAACAGATAAGACCCCAACACTTTTGTAAACACACTTATAAACATGTAAAACAATAATAAGTTGTCTGGAATAACAGGTGTAAAAAAAAGTGTACACAGTATTGTTATAACAGGTGACTGGTAGGTGATTAAATCTTTTATTGTTTCCAAATGTTAAACAACGCCGTTGTGTTGCAATGTATGATACATTTTCGTGTACAAAGTTTAGGATTCAAAATGTAACTTAATTGTAAACTACTCTGCCTGATGTACTGAGAACAGGGTTTCCCTCTAGCTTTCCAAATTTTTTCACCACTCCATAAACATTTTTGAGACAAATTTTAAAAATAGTTTTATAAGTTGATTCTAACTGTATTTCAGCTTTTTTAACTCAAAAATATTTCAAAATCAATATTTTATCATTTTATGAGACTTATTTAGTGAAATTCATGAAGCAAAATGAAAAAAAAAAGTTCATACTTTAATTTCTGCATAAATGCAAACACCTTTACCTGTAAGCTAAACATCTCACTCACTAATTTTTTAATTTTTCTGCCCATCCCAAAAAATAATTTTATTTTTGCTACGAACCTTTCACCCCATGAAAATATATTATCCATTTATTGATTAACAAGTATTTCCCTTAGTTTTTGTATAGGCCTTGGTTGCCACCTTGTTATTGTGCCACATTAAATGGATTGATTGTTTACTAATGAAACTTAGCTTGAAAACAGCTATAAAGAAAGTTTAAATATGATTAGATAGAGTAAGAATTATACTATCATGTCAGAGTACAGTAAATATAAAGGTTTCAGATTTTTTTACAGTTTCTGTAAATGTTTCTTTCATTTGTGAACTGTGAAAACATCTGTTTGTTAACATATCTGTTTGAAAGCAAGAAATTTTCTTCAATGAGAAGACATCAGATAACCTGAGATAAGGTACACTTATACAGTTTAGAGACAGGATGAATGAGTAAAAAATAAATACACAGCTGAATGTTAAAGAAAGGAATAAGATTTTGATATAGACCAAGTACTCAATTGAAGTACTGAACATGAAAGATGTGTTGCTCTCTTATTTGTAGAGGGGTATTGTCTGATGTTGATTACATCATACACTAGCACAATACACATTACATGCAGATGTAGGAATTTCATACAAAGGTTTGACACATAGGAAAGTTTACATTTTCCTATAACAACAGTGTATTTTCGATAATATCTCCTTTCACACTTTAGCTTTATCCCAACAAAAGTTTCTCTTCTTTGTCCATCTAAGCATTGATATGAATTCTACCTTGCTTGCTCCAGTCTTTATACCCAACTATATCGCCCATAGCAATTTTAATCTTGTGACTCTCTCCACTTACATCAACACATTCTCTATACCCAATTCGTATATATGCTCCCAGTTATTCTTTCTTATTCACTTTTTTGAGACTGGCAAGATTACCAGACCCAAACACCAGCTACTGTGGGGAGGAAGGGTGGGATAGTGTGAAAGGAGGTAGGTTTTATAGGAAATACATTATTGGTATAAGAAAATGCAAAACACACTTACCTCTTCTCACACTTCAGCTAGAATCCCACATTGACAAGGTTGAGGGGCAAGTGAGGACATGATACACACAGAAAGCATCTGTGTAGAATAAATAGGTGTGCAAATAGGCTATGGCATGAGGACCACAATATGGTATAATTGTATAATAGTAATATGATATGAAGGGAACCCAACCAGAAAGTTTCCTGTTGAGCCATTGGAATTATGAAGAGAATGCAAGCAACACCAAAGAGGACAAACCCTTACTCCAACCTGAAGAAGCACAAAATGCAACAAACTGAACTCGGAATTACGGGCCCAGGCATCCAACCTGAAAGTTACAAAATTTTGCATGCAAGCCACCAGAATTACAATGGGAAGGCTAGCAATACCCAACTGGAAGAAGCACAGATGTAACCCCAGATATGGAAATGGTAGAGGTACACCTACTGTTATGTTGTCCCTGTCCAACCACCAGACAAGATCCAGCAAACTGAAATCTGGCAGTCTCAATGTACAATACAGCATATCTGTGTAAATATTCCACTGGTCCTGTATCAACCACTGAAAGGCCCTCATGTTTGCATGATCTAAAGGAAAGAGCGATTCCAAGGATGCCCACATCCTTAAAAGAACTGTGCATGCTGGTGGAGAAAGAGATAGCTGTATTTGAAGAATCGCCCCTTCTATGGCCTGAAGGTGTAGAGGAGAAAGTTGGGCCCGGCTTAGTCTGGAAGTGAAAAAAAACCTAAATGGATGAGGTACAGAGACTTCTCCTTTTTTGATAAGAAACCCAGCCCTCACAACTTCTGATAGCAGAGGTTGAATGTGCAGTTCTGCCAAATGGTGGGAAGGACCAGTTGTTGATGTAATGGTGAGTGTGAATGCTGAGGGAGTGAAGATAACATTAGGAAGCTCTGACTATCCAGCAGAAAATGTATGGAGCAGATGCGAGGCCAAATGGTAGAACACAAAACTGAAAAACCTGGTTGTCATGCAAGAGACTGAGATAATGCCTAGAAAACTCGATAATTGGGATTTGAAAGTAGGCCTCTGCTACACTGAATTATGTCATCCATATTATCGGTGAAAAGACCCAGTGAAGGGAAAGAACAATTCCACTGTAAATGAGAAGACTGGAGGAAGCAAGCGGGATGAGACAAATTGATGACTGGTCGCCAATCGCTGTTATTTTCAGTACTACAAAAAGCCAAGAATCAAAAACCCCAAGAGAGGAGATGACTTGCTCTATGGCCTCTTGGTGCAGAAGATCGTGAATGGCTTGTGCTCGACAGTTGGATGTAATAGGGTCCTTGGAGAGTGAAAAGCCAACTGGAACGAGAGGCAGTGGAGGAGAAGACGTGAACTGATAGACTAATCCACTCCCAAGTACTTGAATGACCCACTGATCTATGGTGAATGTCTCCCATATTGAACAAATCTTCTGAGATGAGACCCCAAAGGACTTGACCCCGTCAGGTAGTCACTAATGCCAAAATCTGTGCCCCACCCTGGAGTAGGATCCTTGCTGGTATGATCAGAATCACCCTTGTGTACCAAAGGATTATTGCATTGAAGAATGAGGTGTGGAAATGAGAATGGGAGATGCCATAATCTGTCCTGAAGAAGATCTTTGGGAGAGTTGAGAAGCCAGTGTATAAAGTGGAAAGTGTAAATAGGTCTCAACTACCCAACATTCAATGGAGTCTGGAATTCCCACAAAATAGACTATTAGAGAAAAGGAGCTTCTCTGAGAACTCTAAGGTCCAATGCAGGAAGGCGAATTCCCTCCAGTAAATTTCTTTCTCCAAAAGATCCCAGCAACAGACAAACCAAGATACCAAGGAGAGAGCAGAAGCTGATAACCAGATCGAAGTGGAAGCTAATAAATGGCTAACATCCTCCAAAAATTTGAGCAGGGGAACTAATATAACAGTTGCAAAGATGATAAAAAACATAAAATGCCCCCCCTCCCTTGTCCAGAAATGTTAGACTCGTGAGGTGGTGGAGGAGGGGCATCAGCTGACTCTGTGCCTGAGATGTGAATATGAGTATTCATATTTGAAAGATTTCTCCAAAATTCTTGTTTTTCTAAAATCAAGAAAATTAACAATAAACTCAAACCCCACAAAAAAAGATTTAAAATAATACAAAAGAAAACATTGCAAATGTAGTAATCACACTGAAGAGAAACCCGCAGTAAACATGTATGACTTGTCTTTGTAATTTTTGCCAGCAAGAAAAAGTGAAGAAAGAATAATGGCAAGCAAATCTTTACACATTCAACTTATCTCGTAGTAGTTTCACAAATTTTTATTTCATAGACCTTTTTACTCTACAAACATTAAAGCCACAAGCTATTAAAAAATAAAATATTTAAACAAGAT